CGCCGCGCTGCTCTCGGGGGGCGGATGCAGCACGACGGGCGTGTTGTCGTTCTCGTCCCGCACCATCACGCGCAGCACCGCCTGGGTGCTGAGCGGTGGCGAGCCACCGTCAGTGGCGCGCACCGCCACCTCAAAGGCACGCACCTCCTCGTAGTCCAGCGGGCGGAGGATATAAACATCCCCGTTTTCAGAGTTGACTGACACATCGGGCTGCTCCTTGCCCTCCTGCTGCACCAGCGCGTAGTTTACATGGGCATTTTTTCCCGTGTCGGCATCAGTGGCATTCACGCTACCAATCCGGAGCATGAGGCCGTTGTTCTCCATTACCAGCATGGTGTAAACGTCCTGGGTGAACTCTGGGGGATTGTCATTCACGTCCGATATCTGCACGAAGATGCTTTCCCGAGAGCTGAGCCGCTTCATGCCCCAGTCCATGGCTGTGATGGTGATGTTATACTCTGCCATCCTCTCCCTGTCCAGCGCTGCGTTGGTTCTCAGTTCATAGTAATTATCAAAAGTGGGGGTGAGACTGAAGGGCAAGTCCCCATCGATCGTGCACTCTGTCCGGCCGTTGTCCCCGGAGTCCCGGTCCCGCACGCTGAACAGGGCCACCACGGTCCGGGGGGGGGCGTCCTCGGGAATGGAGGCAGTGAGGGAGGTGAGCGCTATCTCCGGGGCGTTGTCGTTCATGTCCAGGACCTCCACTTGCACTTTGCAATGCGCAGACAACCCCCCGCCGTCGGTGGCTTTCACCACCATCTCGTGGTTTTCTGCTTCCTCGAAGTCCAGGTTGCCCGAGACCCGTATCTCCCCAGTGGCAGGGTTCAGCTCGAAGAGCTGCCGGGACCGCTCCGATGTCTGGGTGAAGACGTACCGCACTTTCCCGTAGGACCCTTCATCGGGATCCGCGGCCGCGACTCTGACCACCAGCTGCTCCGGGGGGCTGTTCTCGGCCAGGCGCACCTCGTAGACCTCCCGACCGAAGACTGGGATGTTGTCATTGGCATCCACCACCACGATCCGGACCTGAGCCGTGCCTGACCTGGGTGGCGAGCCCCCGTCGGTGGCAATGAGGAGCAAATTCAGCTCCGGCTTCTCCTCACGGTCCAGCTGCCGCTCTAGGACGAGCTCTGCGTATTTTACTCCACCTTTCCTTGTTCCGAGAACGAGGGAGAAATGCGAATTGGACCCGAGGCTGTAGTTCTGCAAGCCGTTGCTGCCCACGTCCTTGTCCTGGGCGCTTTCCAGAGGGAAACGGGACCCGGGAGATGCCGTTTCCAGAATCTCTAAAACCATCTGTTTCTCCGGGAACATGGGGGAGTTGTCGTTCACATCACGAACCTCCACCTCTCCTCGGATCAGCTGCAGAGGATTTTCAAAGAATATCTTAAAGAAGAGTGTGCAGGTATCGCTCTGCGGACAGATCTCCTCTCGGTCCAGGGACTCCTTTGCCGTCAGGACTCCGGTGTTTTGATTGAGGCGGAAAAGCTGCTCGTTCCCCTCGGACACAACGCGGGCCTTGCGAGCCGCGAGCTGGCTCGGAGCAATCCCCAGGTCGTTTGCAATATTGGCGACAAAGGAGTCCCTCTCCATTTCCTCCGCCAGAGAATAGCGGAGGGTTTCGGCCCCGCTCTGACACACGCAAACGCACAGAATAAACAAGATCACTTGCCTCTTGCTGCCTCCGCTCCGTCTCCCCCACGCCATTACTCTCCAGAAAATCCATCCACCGTTCTCCGTGGTTCCCAGCATTTTTAAACAACGTTCGAGGCAGAGCGGCGTTTGTCGGGAATGCCGGGGTAAGGGGTCTGAAAGCCCCGAGCACCACGGCTCCGTGTACCGCTGCCCTCCCCGAGGAGCTCACACGGGCTTTTTGTCTCCCTGTGCCTGCAAACCCGGTGCGGGCAAAGGAACCTGCCGGTCCGTGGCCAACACCCCCACCCAGCGTCGCAAAGGGGGAATATTTCCTCTGCCTTCTCATTCGGGCCAGCGCTGTTGATTCGGAGTTTGCTGCTTGAATCTGCACTTTCCGTGCCAAACCGAAGTGAAAAGGCGCGGTGTAAATGCTCTCTTCGTTTGGAAGCAGGCTCCCTCTCGCATACAGAGCGCTGCTCTGGGTGTCACTTCCCAGCTCGCAACGGCGAGCTCTTCGTACACAGCTTATAGTGTTGTGTAGGTATTGCAAGATTTGCCACTTCCACAGGATGCCTTGCGGGATTTTCATTCTCTTCTCCACTTGTTAATGAGCACAGGACAGTCAGCAAGTGGGGCGGGTCAGAGTAGCACCCCTATTGAATATGAGAGTTGGTACCAGGGAAAGGTCCCGAAAGCAAATACTTCATCATCACCTCAGTTCATCATCACCCTAGTTCATCATCACCTTAGTTCACCATCACACCACAATGATAATGTTCTTCTAGGACACATCATCCTAATGCTGTTTTCTTCACACCTCGTCCAAAGGTCCCATAACTCCTTAATTGACAGGAGTATCCTCCCCTGCCGCCTGCTGACCCTTGCACTCATAATAAGATGTGTGACTGTATAAGACATTCGTGACAAATGTCCCCAGACGTACACAAACATCGAAATGCTGAAGCCTGTTTTCATGTTCTGGAGGTATACAGCCCTTTTTCCTCTGATGTTACCACAGAGGCCCAGAGATACGGTACTTGGAGGTCAAACCTGAACTCCTGTATCTGTGTAAGGATATAAGGCCAACAGCTATTTGATATAAAAGGCAAGGAGAACAAACAGGAGAGGTCGTAAATTAAACGCCCAGATACACAAACGCTAACGACCAGGAGCTGACGGAGACAATAGCAAAGACCAGGGATCTAATGACACCGATCGACGGGCCATTAAAAGAACAATTTAAGTGTAACATCCAAGAGGTTCAACCAGAAACTTTGTAAACGAGGGGTGAGGGCGTGGGGAGATTATCATGGATTATCAGAAAGGAAAGAGCGAACTGATTGCGAGATGTATGAGGGGGGTTATAGGAATATGCAAAGGTTATTACGGGTTGGTTAGAGGCACGATCAAATTCGTCAAAAGGGAGAAGTCCTAGGTGAAGTCCTAGAAATTCGCTGATGCCTTCATTTGTTTTGAAATAAAAACTTCGTGACTGTATCAGTAGGAGAAAGGAATAACCAGGGTTGACTTTAGGATTCCCCAGAATTTTAGCTACCAGAGGACTTTGCATGGATGGAGCCATTTTTGGTGATTTCTTCTTACGGCCCTTTACCTCGGAAGCATGATAGATTTTAAAAGACTAATTTACATCGAAGGCCAGCTCAGCTCTTTCTTCCCTTCCAGGGATTTGCCCATCTCTCGTTGCTATCTTTATCACCAACACAGAAACTTGATGTAAAACCAGCCATAGGTCAACTCCAGCAGTAGATGCGTTGGGAATGTGGCTTCTCTCCTCATTCGTGCCATGCAAAAATAACAGTTATATCTGGAATCCATTTGCTTTGTGCCCTTGCCAGTGCTTCTGCTCGAGTCTTGGCATCTCCGAGAAAGGAAGGTGTATTTGCTCCTTTGTAACGTGATCCTTGGCACCACTACGCAGCAGGGAACAGACACAAGCTGAGAAGAGCTTCCACAGACAGTTCTTACCCTGATTACAGTAACCCGGTAATTGTTACTCCACTCATTTCAGAAGGGAAACGGTGTCCTTCAGCTTCAGGTGTAGAAGGGTGTAAGAGGAACAGTGATACTTAACGGAGCTCTTGGCTATGATAGTATCTTTGCACATCAGAAGATGCTGCTCTTAGACTGAAACTCATATTCTTTCAGATTTTAGAGAAATGTGAAATAAAGAGAAAAGGTAACTTACCGTGCACCACTGGATAGCTAATGCTGGTGTTTTCCATTGGGTCACAGCAATAAAATGGATGTGTATGAGTGGAAAAAATAAGTGTGTACACTGCCAGATGAAGGCACACTACGTTTTAGGACAGACTAAGGAACTATAGCCATAATAAGAATGTAATTTGCATAAATGTGTCAGATAATTTACTTAACTCATTGAGCACATAGTGATGTTGCAGACTTCCTCATTATTTGGTTTAGTGATGACGTCTTTAACCTAAGAAGGTAGCTTAATATGACCGAAAACCTGTTCTTCTCTTTACTCTGAGATTTACATCTTAATGCTAGAAAAGAGCTACAGCAACATACTCTGCTCAGTTCCTGGTATGTCTCCGAATTTCCAAACACAGTGTTCCTTCTGCCCGTACGTCTTTATCCTGAGCAATTTCAGTTTCCAGAATCTTCTTCTTGGTCTTCCAGCTGGGAATTCAGATCTGCTGAGTGAAATCTCAGAAGCCTCAGGCCGAGTTTCCACCCCACTCCCTCCGAATAAAAGTTTTTTCCCCATCCCTGGAGCCACTGCTCATCCACCTCTGGCACATCCTGCGGATAGCGTGACTTGGGACGAGCAGATGAAAATGCAGATGAAAAAGCCTGCAGATGAAAAGCACAGATGCTTCCCCGAGTCACTGTGGTTTCCATGCCCGAGTGTAAAGAGGGACCAACATTTCCATCCTCTCATTCCCAGCCAGCTCCCAGGAAGGATTTCTTCTCTCGCCTCTAGCATTCAGACAGTGCCTGAATTCCCAGCTCTCCCGCAGAACTGCTGCCCTGAGCTCTCCGCTGGATGCAAACGTGAGGAAAGCCGGGAGAATCGTTCCCCACCTTCTGCCTCTCTGTTAGGCTGTAAATACCACTGGTACATGTCCTGTTTGTGGTTCATTTTCCGAGACATTTCTCTCTCTCTCTGTATTCAGTCCAGTTAATGCTTTGCCCATCACTCTGTTAAAGGTAAATATTTCTTGCTCGCGGTATTAAGTCGGTGCTTACCAACCAACGGGCTCTGTCTGAGTCATCCCAGACCTGCGGCAAAATCCTCTCAAATCTCCCAGGGATGGAGACAGCCGGGGAACAGCCTGGGAGACCGTCTCCCTCCTTCACATCCCCGATTCCTTGTGCTCTTGGCGTTTCCAGACGGTTCTCTATGCGGCAATTCTCAGCACATTCCTTGGAAAGGCTTTGAACTGGGATATTTCAGCTGGGTTCTTAGTTAATGTCAGCCATGCGGAATCTGACTGGTGCTTACTGGTCTCTCCCCGCTTGGGAGCTCCCCGCCCAGCAGCCGCAATACCCGCCCAGCGCTGGCCAACAGCGGCACTGGGCGTCCAACGCAGGAACTGCACATGGGCGTTCACCCCCGAGTCTCAGCTCGCATCCCCTCCGTTAGGTTCTGGCTATTGCTAGGGCAAATTATGAAACACATTTCCCACCTGAAGTCTTTGGCAAATAAACGCACTTTCTTAGTACCTATTGAGACGTTTGGTTTGGCACTAATAATCCAGGCAAGTATGAAACGTCTAGACCCTGTCCTATACAAACCTTCTGTCAAATGTGCTTAAGAAAGATGGAAGATATGGGAAAGCATAGTAAGCATTGCTCATGTGTTGTGCACAACATCCTCCACAAGTCAGAGAGACAATCGAGGCATTTTCAAGCACAGGCTGGTTTCTATTTCACAAGGACATCTCCAACTGTTGTACGTCCCCGCTAGAGTAATCTGAAGTTAAGAACCAATTCAGTATTACTAGCAGCACGAACTGCCCCACACCCCTTGGATCAGCTGCAGTGGATTTTCAAAGAATATCTTAAAGAAGAGTGTGCAGGTATTGCTCTGTGGACAGATCTTTCAGTCCAGTGACTCCTTTGCCGTCAGGACTCTGGCGTTTTGATTGAGGTGGAAATGTTGGTCATTTTCCTTGGACACAATGTGGACCACATTTCCTCCTAGGTAGCAGTACTTCCTTTCTACTGACATCAGTTTGTGAGGTTATCTGCTCTAAAATTTCCCCTTCATACCTTCCAACTTTGAAGAATAAAGAGAAATTCCCTGCTTCAAAAGTATGAGTCCACAAAACTCTCAGAGACATTCTGCACTCTCCAGTCTCCAAAGATAATGCTGGGCAGAAGACACCTGCCAGATGTTTACCCAGACCATTTCCGTCCTACACCTTTGAAAACAAGGAATTCTTGCTCTCTTCTCTCTACCCATGACAAACTCAGTACTTCTCATTTGAAAATAAATCCTTCGCAGCTTCAAAACTTTGCTACTACAAATGCCTTTGAAGCCAACTAAGTAATTATTCTCATCTTTGTAAACTTTGTTCTCAGTGTCATCTAGATTTTCCATCCTCAACTTCACTCCTGGGTCAAATATGCAGCAGACAGTCTTCTTCATAAATCCCTAGAACCATGTGTTTTCTTGCATCCTGAGGTCTCAAATGGCCCACAAATAATATTTCAATTTCTAGCTCTAAATTGATGTATTCTGTGGGGGAAAATGTCATCTACTGAGGTTTTTTTTCCTGTTCTTGTGCCAAATTTCTGTACAACTCCTTCCACAGTTTTCTGCAGTGGCTGTTTTGGTTAACTAGGAGGAGATACACATGGAACAATCAAGTAGAACAAGGTTGTCAGGAAATTCAAGCCCACTGTGTGAATAAGCTTGGCTTTCCATGTGTTTTTCATGAAGCAACAGAGAATCAGCTGATTTTCTCAGTGACATTTAGATAGCCTTGAAAAAGAGACTTCAGGGACAGAAGTGCTGCACAGGCATTTCATGAACAAGGGCGAGAAACTTCCAGCTTGTGAAGAAATGTTTCTGCAATTGGCTACCTGAAGACAGTGAGTAGAATTGATTGAAGGAAAACAGTCAAGTGATATAATAAGTGAGAAACAGCCAGACCATGTTCTGGGCATGGAAATAGCACATTTTCTCTTTAATAGACAGGCCAGGAAGGAAAGGACATGGGGAGAGGTTGGCCTTGGACAGGCTAATTTTGAAATTCTAGCTGGTCAATCTGAGGAGAGAAACAGGACTTGAACTGAGAAGGAGATTTGGAAGTGAAGGAGAGAAAGGGAGAGCAGGAGGGGGGATAGCAATGGTTGGAGGACAGAAAGTTGCTCTGCAAGAGGGGCCTAGAGAGGACAAGCATGAACCTGTCTGGTTTCCAAGGCCGATCAAGAGGTTAAGGACAGAGAAATACATGTAGGATCCATCCCAAAGGCAACTTAGGAGGAGCTTGTTGATACACCTGTAAGAAAACAATCAGAACGGACATTAGTAACGTGGGGTCCAATCAGCCAGAGTGAAAATGGTATGGGGAATTCTGGAGAAAAGCAGAAATGGCAGTAGATGCAGTCTGAGGTCAAAGAAGGTGCATGGATCAGAAAGGAGCAAAAATGGACATGAAGAAGGAAGAAACAAAACAGGCAGGAGAGGAATGTAAGAGGAAGAAAGGCAGGGATATGGTCATTTAGGTTTCTGCCTGTTCTTCCCCTATTCTCAGTGTCTGCCTTAGGACCTAGATTTCCTCTTTTTTTATCTTTCTTCCTCAGAATGTCTCTCTTTTCACTTAGGGAGCAAGAAAACTATCAGAAGGTAGCAGCAAACCAATGGGAATCCTAGTGTCTCAGTCAGTTTAACAGGATGAAGTGCCCAGCTTTCTGTTTCCTGAGGCCAAGTTTGGCCCATCTTCAAGCGAAGTTCCCAATCCTGTAACCCTTGGATGTCATGAACATATTGAGAAGGTAGAAACATCTGCCCCAGTGCCACCTAAAAGGAAGGTCAACGCCGAAGTGATTCAAGACAGCCTCATGGACAGTGTGGTCACTGCCTGGAAGGAAAACAGAGTTTCTAAACTGAGGCTTTCAAGAGAGACAGAGAGATCAAGGAATTGTCATGTTTTCTCATGTCACAGGTGAACAGGAAGATGGGTCAGCATGAGGGCATCACCCTCCACTTCATGTCTAGTGCTTCTGAAGGCACAGTGATCAGTCCAGTGGTTAACTAAGTGGCCAGCACTGTTAGTAAACCAAATCCAGCTAAATGATAAGGGCTATATAAACCAAGCATAAGAGAAATCTGGCCAATGCTTTACAGAAGCAGCAGAGACTTTTTGTGAGGATACCTGGGAAAACAAAGGCTTTTTGTGCTCTCAGCTTAACATCCTCTGCCCTCAGCTGCAGGTCCCTTCCTCTCACATTATGGTTCCAGCAGCAACCGCAGACAAGGCACCCTCCAGGATCACAGGATGACCCTTGTGTCTCTGGCAACTAAACCATTCCCAGAAATACAGGGTGACCGGAACACTTCCTGGGACATCTTTCATACAATGTAGTGAAATTTAGACTCCCCATATCCTAACATACTCTTGTATCTTGACTATTTTATTTTATACCTGTTGTATCTTGTCAAAGCTGAGCTGTAAAAAGCCAACCTTCTGTCGGATGATGTTTTGATGTGCTCGGTACTGCTGACCAATGACACAGAGACACTCTGAAAGAAAGGACACCTACAGAACAGAAAACATCCATCCTGTGAGGAGAAATCCAGAAAGGGGTTATTCACTGTTTAGGCAACAGACATATATTCACATCAATAACACATTTACTAACAGGGTGGCAATGAAGAACTGACCAGCAGCTTAAAGATAGGTGCACACACACAATTCCTAGGGAATAATTATAATGTAAACAGACATGCAAGCAACACATTTAGCAGGTAGTGCTGAAGGTGCCTGACAGCTAATTTACTTTCCAAAGAGTTTATACCTGGACAGGTGCAGTCCACCTCTGACGTCAAGATTCTTCTAGTGCTGGGTTCA